AAACATTTAAGACGAATGTTCGGGCTCATTTCCTAAAATAACTTAAACACTGCTAAAGTCCGACATTATTATGGTTATCTCTGTTTCTATTTAATTCAGAATAGTAAGTATTATATATCTTATAATGTATAGTTATAATATATTGTCTTATAAATATATACATAACTATATATAGTATATCATCATCATCATCATCATTACAGCCCTTCACAAGTCCACTGCTGAACAAAGGCCTCCCCCAAAGAATGCTACAAAGCACGGTCCTGAGCCACCTGCATCCATCGACTTCCTGCATATCTTACCAGGTCGTCACTCCATCTAGTGGAGGGACGCCCTACACTTCGCCTGCCGGTACGAGGCTGCCACTCGAGAACCTTTCTTCCCCATCGGTTGTCGGTTCTTCGAGCTATATGGCCGGCCCATTGCCACTTCAGCTTACTAATCCATTGAGCTATGTCGGTCACTCTGGTTCTACTGCGGATATCCTCATTTCTGAGTTTATCACGCAGAGAAACTCCGAGCATAGCCCTCTCCATAGCTCGCTGAGCGACCTTGAGGTTCCTCATCCGGCCAGCAGTGAAGGAGCACGTCTCAGTTCCGTATGTCATCACTGGCAACACGCACTGGGTGTACAGTATCGTTTTCAAGTTTTGAGGTATAACTGACGAGAAGATGTGCCGTAATTTCCCGAACGCTGCCCAACCGAGTTGAATCCGTCGATTGACCTCTCGGTCGAAGTTGGACTTACCTTGTCGGACTATTTGTCCCAGGTAAACATACTCGTCAACAACTTCGAGCTTAGTGTTCCCAACAACTACCGGCATAGATGTGACATGGACATTAAACATGATCTTTGTTTTGTCCATGTTCATCTTAAGACCTATCCGTTGGGAAACACTATTGAGGTCATTGAGCATAGTGCTTAGGTCCTCTAGCGATTCTGCCATAAGGACTATATCATCGGCAAATCAAAGGTGAGTGATGTACTCGCCATTGATTTTGATACCGTATCCTTTCCAGTCCAGAAGCTTGAAAACATCTTCCAATGCAGCGGTAAAGAGTTTCGGGGATATGACGTCACCCTGTCTTACACCTCTCTGCAATTGGATAGGTTTCGTACTCTGGTTCTGTACTCGGATAGCCATCGTAGCCCTACTGTACAAGCACTTCAACACTTCGATATACCGACAGTCAACTTGGCATCGCTGAAGGGTATGTATGTGATCTATGGTGCTAAAGCCTTTTCGGAAACCGGCTTGTTCGGGAGGCTGGAAGTCGTCAAGTCTGCGCGCGAGACGATTCGTAATGACTCTCGAAAACAGCACGTAGACGCGGCTCAGAAGGGAAATCGGTCTGTAGTTCTTCAAGAGAGCGTTGTCGCCTTTCTTGAAGAACAAGACCACCGCACTTCTGCTCCACGCCTCCGGTGTAATGCCACCATGGAGGACGGAATTAAAGAGCTTCTGAAGGACTTCAAGTACCGGTTTTCCATCCGCTTTCAGAAGCTCCGCTGTAATTCCATCCTCGCCTGGGGCCTTGCCGTTTTTAAGGTGCTGGAGAGCCATTCTAATCTCGCTCAGACTGACGTCCGGGATATCATCGGAATAATGTCGGATAAGACTCGCTCTTGGATCGTTACTCACACTTGCGTGCGGCTCCAACGATGATGTGTACAGCTGCCCATAGAACCTCTCAATCTCACTCAAAATCTCAGGTGCCCCGGAAACGATACTGCCACATTCGGTCTTCAGCTTTGACAGTTGGCTCTTTCTGGCAGACAGATCTCTGGCAAAGACTTTGGAGCCTTGGTTCCGCTCGATCGCTTCTTCAATATGAGCTGTATTGAAGTTGCGTAAGTCCCGCCGCATGCATTTGGAGATCTGTCTGTTCAGTTGCCTGTATGCTGTTAAATCTGTTGAAGAATGTAGCTTCATCTCCCGTCTAACAGCCATGAGATTAAGAGTGTGATCGGAGAGATTTTGTGTTCTTCTGCGGCGGGTCTTGCAGAACTTAGCTCCTACCGCATGGACAGTTTCCACGAGCTTGTCATTCAAATCGTCCACTTCATTGCAGTCTTCTAGGCGCTGAAAACGGTTTTGTAACTCGAGCTGAAAGGTTTCGGGACTTTGGATTAGAGCACGAGGGGGGACGGAGCGTTGACTTCATTAGACGAGACCTCTCCAACTTAACGTTTAGGTTCAGTGTGCCTCTAACCATTCGGTGATCGCTGCCGGTTTTCACCCTCGCGATCACTGAGACATCATTGAACAGTTGTCTTCTGGTCGTCATAATGAAGTCAATCTCATTTTTTGACGAACCGTCGGGGCTCAACCAGGTCCACTTCCTGTGGGGCCGCTTCTGGAAGAAAGAGTTCATCATAAAGAGTCCCTCTTTCTCCATGAAGTCGGCCAGCTGCTGGCCCCTTGGGTTCCGTTGCCCTATTCCAAATTTCCCTACTTTCAGCTCACCGTTCTCTCTTGTGCCTAGTTTTGCATTGAAGTCTCCCATTAACACCGTATATTGGGTTTTGGAGGAATGCATGGCTCTAGAGATATCCTCATACATTTCCTCCACCTCCTGATCGGGGTGTGCCGAGGTTGGTGCGTAAACCTGTATGACCTTCAGCGAATACCGTTTGGTGATTCTGAGTATAAGGTACGCAACCCTCGTCGACACACTCTCAATCTTTACAACGTTGTTAACGAGAGACTTGTGGACGATAAATCCGACACCTCCTTGGGACAGATGGTCGCCCTCCCGGTAATAGAGCAAGTTGCCGGATTCGAGGATTACCGTGTCCTCCCCCTCTCTTCGGACTTCGGATAATCCTATAATATGCCAGCGTAACTTGTCTATCTTTTCTTCCAGCTCCACAATCTTCTCCTCAGTCCTCAGGGTGCGTGCGTTGTATGTTGCCAGGTCGAGTCGTCGTAGGTGGCAACTGAACCTCCACCAGAGATTCTTAGCACCCCCTGCCCCGCCGTTACCATGGTCGCCACCGTAGCCAGGAATAGCGGGGCCGCCGGGGACTGGGGGCCGTCTCTTCGTAACTTTCATCATGGGGGGTAAGTATATTGCCATAGTTGCCACGCTTGGCGAGCGGGTTGGCAACCGCAGTTTTTTATTGCATTTTTGCCGTTACCAGGAAGATGCTGCTGCCCATCTCCTGCCTGTTTCCCTTTGTCGCCTTTTACGACACCCACGGGAAGATATGGGGTAGTGGATATTCTTAACCGCCACTACACGGCGTATATATAGTATATATATATATATATATATATATATATATATATATATATATATATATATATATATACTATATATAGTTATGTATATGTTTATTTGTATGTGTGTATTCTATGTGTATATATTAACGTTTTATTTAGTAAAACGGTGACAATGGCAATCACTTACATGTTCGTATAATAATTTAATATATTCATAATATAAAATTCTGTGGCAATTTGCAAATTTAAAATTAACAAAGCATTTAATGCCCAACAAAGGGTTATAAGAGCAATGCACTCCGCCTTGGGAATTATGTAGTGATTACTTCAAAAAGCTAAATGTATGTACTCGTACTTACAGCACCCATTCTATGCACCTTAATACTTCTGAAAGTCGTTTTTAACAACAGCCATAAATCCGATGAATAAATGAAAGAGAGAATAATCACCAGAAGGGTCTTAGAACAAGAACATATATAATATAATTAAATATCCACATACTTATTTATTTTCTTTTTTTTATACGTTACCCCCACAATAGGTTTTTCTCCTGTGTCGTGGAGGCAGTTTACAAACATAAATTGCACAAGGACAAACATCCAGACCCGGAACAATTATTTGTAGGCCATACAAATACTTGTTCCGTGCGGGATTCGAACCCGCGGCCCCCAGCGCAACAACTGATTGCTAAGCCACTGCGCCACGGAGCCGTCATAATTCCGTTCTTTATGGTGGTCAGACGCTACGCCTGCACGTGTAACAGAAGTGTAGTGGTTTTATTTTTCAAGAATGATAAATAAAATCATATTGAAGAATTACAGAGGGATTTTCCTGCTGAGCCGCGAGTAACGTGGTGTTTTCGAGAGTAATTACGAACCTTCTCGCAAGTAGACTATACGACTTCCAGCCTAGATCACATACATACCCTTCTGCAGGTTATACAGAAGACTGAGCAGTATAATTAGTCGTAATGTATGGCGTATGTGAACTATGAGTTTTTGGATTGTACATCCCACTGTAGAGAGCACCGGTAGTATTTTAGGGTCCAGCGTATAGGGTGCGCTAATCATCATTATCGTGTACCAGTCGGCCGGGCCAGGCCGGGCTACTAACTCACGTGGGCTGCCGACTATTCGACAGGCAAGTACATCTGAGCGACCAGAATACCCTTTTGTGTTATAGAATACGGACTCTTCCAATTTAAATCAATAATTAAAATCATTTATGTTTTGATGAAAAAATGTAAGTATATTTTTTTCTTTTTTATATAATTTAAAGTTCGAATTAAAAGCGGCAAATGAGTATAAAGTCCCCCTGATTGTAAGTGGATAATACTGTGGCTCGAGATTACCTACATTTATCCTTGACTAAATAAAAATGTCTTCAAGAAATATTTCGAACACATGTAAACTTCGCCTACTCGCATTGGAGAAGCGCGACGGGCATTTTCTTGCCCTAAAACCCTCTCAGAAATGAGAAGAGACCTGTGCCCAGTAGTGGGACGTATATAGGCTGTAGCTTTACTTTAAATAAAAATGGAAATACGTTGTCAGTTGTCACTTCTCAGGACTAAGATGTAATGCCTCGTTACTACTCAAAATGGATTGCGGTTCTCTTGTCACCAGACTAAACACAACAGCGCAGTGCTGCTATTTTACGCTGGTATTCTAAGATAGCATAATCTTTCCCCGGATGCACCGATCTATTCGTACTGCAAACATAATCGTTGAATGCGATAATAAAGATAAATTAAAGTATTCTGTTTTAGACATTATGGATTTTGACGCGATCTTAGAAGACGTCGGAGTGTTTGGAAAATATCAGAAATTGGTGATCTACTTCGTTCTCCTGCCAGCAGTAATCCCGTGTGGGTTCCATGCGTATGCGCAGCTGTTCATGGCAGCGGACGTGAAACATTGGTGTAGAGTGCCGGAACTGGACCAAATCAACGATTTAGATATTGTAAAGAATTTGAGGTAATAATTAAGAAGAATTTTCTAGAGCTAGCATGATATTTTCTCTTCTTTTTATTAACTTCCACACTTAATTTTTTTTTAACTAATTTCAACAAATAGTTACTTTTGCGAATCACATAGCAAATCCGAGATGTATTTGGCGGCTTGGTACCGATCTGGCTAAACATTTGACGGACCGCGGGTTTGAATTCCGCACGGAACAAGATGTGTATGGCCCACAAATACTTGTTCCACATTTTAAGTTTATAAAATTCATGCCACGATACATTTCTAGTAAGAGAGTAATATTTTAATTAGATAAGAAAATGCTTTGTTATCGGTCAAGCAAATCATCCATCCGATTTATTCGGCTTTAACCATTGAGTTATATGTACTACGTACTAGAGAAACCATTCCGAACATTGACTATGTTCAACGGAACTGTAGTGCAATCCCTACAAACTAAATATTGCGTAAATTGAAGATTTGTGAATTCCATAAAATAATTATTATTACATTTTATTTAGAAATATAACCTGTTTGTTTAGATGAAATTAAGATATTTTATATTAAATTCTTATATTTATTTTATATTAATATCTTATTTTATATCAAATTAAAATCTTCGCGCATGCGCGACTACTACTCCCGCGCATGCGCGAAAACATAGAGTAGGACACAGTTTTTGTTTGAAATGGCTTCTCTAGTACGTAGTACATATAACTCAATGGCTTTAACTATGTACATAACATTCATAAAGCACTTATATATTTACAAGTGGCAAAATTAAAAATTTTATACAACCGACTTCAATATAAATAAAATGAGAACATCATAAATTTAGTGGAAGTCTATTAAATACGCATTATTAAGGATAACTCAAAAATTACTGGTCAGATCTTGATCAAATTTATATGGGACCAATGAGGATCACTAGCTTTCAAATAAAAAAAAATAATCATCAAAATCGGTTCACCTAGAAAAAGGTCTGATATAAACCACATAAAAAAACATATAGTCAAATTGAGTAACTCCTCCTTTTTTTGAAGTCGATTAAAAAGGGTACTAAATTTTCAACAAATAAATTTAATATAATTTCAGTATTCCCCTGGAAGTCAAAAACGACGTTCTACAATATTCCAAATGCAGACTGTACGACTTAAACTATAGTTACATCGCTAGTAACTACCCAAACCTGGAAGAAATTGAGGAAACAACTGATACTATACCGTGCAACAATGGATGGACCTACGACAAAAGCGTATACAAAAGTACCGTTGTTACAGAGGTGAATTTTAATATAGTATTGTTGTTGTTACGAAATTAACACGAGAGACTGGATTTTAAAACGTAGTGATTATATAACTTTTGCAATTTATCTATTTTAATGTCTATTTAAATTCACATATTCACTATAAAAAAATTAAATAAAAAAGGTAAGATCACATCGATCACTAATAAAAACTAGATACACAATCAGTGACAAAAAATGTCCTTACCGAATGAGCGCCCGCTCGAACATTTGGGTGCGCTTTCAATTTGTACGTAGCTTTGTGAATACAACTTTAGGCAATGCAGTTAAGGTTGAATTTACATTATAGTATATTTATTTCAACTAGAATTACATCAAAACAATTGGCGACAGTTTTTAGAGAACTTTTGCATGGGATTGTGTATCTAATTTTTTATTAGTAATCGATGTAAGATCATGAAAATAATAGAAATATTAAATGTTACAATACCTACCCTTTTTATTTAACTTATTGACGTGTGGTAGAGGCGTCCATCAATCACCTCAATTCGTTCCTTGGGTGTCGTTATCGTACGAGTCGACTTAAGAGAATGCCAGAAATATCTTACACGAAATCGTCACAAAGGGAGAGGCCTAGCAATGGACTGTTTTATATAAACACTTATATTTCTTTAAATAGAAAGATTATCAACGTACGGTGTTTCTGTTTACTAACTATGAACTGAACTGAATCTAGTCGTAAAATAAAGAAGAAAGAAAGAAAGAATAATGATTTCTCATATTTACACGAATACTAGAAATCGAATAAAACTAACCCTATGGATTTTATTGCGTGACCATAGGTTCAGTAAGCATCCGAAATGTCAAGAATTAAAAACAAGTAAAATAAATTAAATTAAACGCGATGAAAGCCGTAGAATTAGCTATATTCAAGAAAAGAAAAAAATTAATCATTAATATTTCTTATGTTTACGCGAACAAATAAAAATAAAAATAGTTTTTTCGGATTTTATCGCAAATAGAAGTCTGCAGTCTGTGAACGAGAACAGAATTAGCAGATTAATTAAACACAAATCCTCGCTAAAGGACATTCCTTCCAATGATGATTCACGAGGTTATTGAAATCAAAAAGCATCCTAATTTCAATAGAGAAGTTGGCTGGGTGCTACCATCTGTTTGAGATCTCATAATTAATAAAGTTAAATCCCAGCCCAAGCATACAACGCAAGACTTAAAGATGCTATAATCTCATTCTGCTTAGATCAGACTAAAAATTCGAAAAATAATAATTTTAATGTGAAGGTATCCGTGTTTAACTATGACATTTGGACGTTGAACACCTCAGCCCCGTAACCATGGGCGCTTTAAAGTACTCGAAACGTCGGGAATATAGAAAATAGTTAGTATACGCAATAAAATCCTAAAAAAAAATTTCATTGATATTAATCATTACCAACATTATTAAACCTCTTAAAGCAAACATTATTTTAGTGTTGTGTAGTGTGATTAGTCTTTTTTAAGATGATTTTCGAAGTGTTCCTAATTAATGCAAATGCTTGTTTGCTATTTTTTTTTTCTTAATATATTATATAGTATATGGTAGAGTATACGATTTTGTGTTTTTGTCTCTGTCCTTCGTCTCGTTTTGATTTTATAGGGCGGCAAAGCTGAAGGTGACCATAAGCTTTGCCGCCATATCACCAGGTAAGATATGCAGGAAGTCGATGGATGCAGGTGGCTTAAGACCGTGCTTTGTGTCATTCCTTGGGGGAGGTCTATGTTCAGCAGTGGACTTGTGAAGGGCTGTAATGATGATTACCCTCACATACCTTACTTATATAATCAAATTATAATTATTTTCATTAGTGGAACTTAGTCTGCAATAAAGATTTCTACCCGGCGCTTGGATTAGTGCTATTGGCTATTGGAGGAATCATCGGGAATTATGTCTTTGGTTATCTACAAGACACAATCGGAAGGAAACCTTCCTTCTTTATTTACCTTCTCATCGAAAGCATCTTCGGAGTCGCCACGGCCTTCGCTCCGAATTACGCAGTCTGGATCATCTATAGAATCGGCGTGGGTTTCACTGTCCCTGCTATAATGGCTACACCTTACGTGCTAGGTAAAAGTTATTTTGTATTTATCAATAATAGTTTGGTTTTTGTAACTGTACACAATATTTCTGTAGCATTAAAATTCAGAAAATATTCTAAATTAAAAAGCAACTTTTTTAAATTATTTTCCAAAATAAGAACAAAAAAAGCAACAAATACTAATGGTGATGTCAAACTACCTAATTGATTTGAATTCCAGCGATCGAATTGGTCGGGCCGCGATACCGCACCCTCTGCACAATCGTATCTAACATCGCGTACTCTATGGGACTAATAATGCTTGCCGGTGTCGTGTATCTAGTACGCGACTGGCGTCATCTGGCTTTGGCCACCACATTGCCATTCCTCTGCTTCTTTTTCTACATATGGCCAATGCCAGAAAGCCCTAGATGGCTTTTAGCAAGGGGACAATTTGAAAAGGCGGAAAAAATACTGAAGGACATGGCCAGGTTTGTATCTTTTATGTGTGCTTTAAATCGATGCATAATTTTAATTACAATTTGTACTAGACTTTTATGCTTATTTTAAGTGTGGTCCATAAATTTGTAGGAAAAATCCACGCCATAAGGTGTAAAATAGGGCAGGGGTGGCGAACCTTTATGTATTAACGTGCCATTTTTCTAAAGAAATGTTTAATGAGGCCATAGACGTGCCATAACAGTAAAAACTATAATCACTCGGGTTTGTTTGTAATATAATACTTCACAGTGAACTTTGTGATCGGTGGCGTGCCAAAAACATTGTGTCGCGTGCCATTGTTTCACCATCTCTGAAATAGGGGATCAAGTTTTAATGTCAATATTTACTTGACATTTGAGTTTGTGGTATTTCTTAGTCTCACTCAAAAGGGCCAGAAATTAAAGATGTGATAAGAAGTAAAAGCTGTGACTTCAAAGAACTGTTAAAGCATAAAATAATTACCACATAATAGCTTCTGAAGTCGTCTAATATACAATGTGTTACAAGATAATTATCATTTCATTATTTTTGATTCTTCGAAATAGACTTTTACTTTTATTAACCTCCGACGAAAAAAAAACATAGAGGTGTTATACGTCTGTAGCTTGTATCTTTATATCTGCGTGTCTGTCTGTGGCATCATAGCTCTTGAACGGGTGAACCGATTTTGATTGAGTTTTTGTCTTTTGAAAGTGTTCATTTGAAGCATTATCTCTTTTTGTTTCGGGGTTTAATTTATTAAGTCTAATTTTTCTAGCTATTAATGCATCTACAAAAATTGCACACCTCGAACGCAACGCAAGGCTTTACTGCATTATTTTTATACCGCACTAATACCACAGAATATATAATAGTTAATACGTGAAGAAAAGGTGTGTCTTTTTTCACAATTAATATTAAGAGAAAATACTTATTGATAAAACTAATTAAGTTTTGCGGTACGTATTATTTATTACACAGGGTTTTGTTTTGTTATTTGTTTCAAAGAGTAGCCAAATTTTAAATTTAAAGTCAAATATATAAATATTACCGTATACTGTTATTAAAGTTTTTGAAAATACGAGTAAATAAGGCTTCCATTTTTATTTGAAATTATCCCAAATTGAATGTGATTTATGGGCAGCAACAACGCTCACGCGCACTTTTCTGTGTACAATTCAATTAACAAAGTTTTTGAGCCCTACGAATGTATGCCTGCGCAGTAAAATCAGTTAAAATAGTGCATTACATTTTGAATTTAAAAGATAAAAATAACAGAATGTTTGAGATATTTTTTAATTCATTTTTCTTCTCCATTTGTCTATATTACTTATTTTGATCCTTCTCTGCAAATTTGACCGGTTAATGCAAAATAACCCTGTATAAAAAGTACAATGAATTTTTTTATCGTCACCGTCTGTTATAAAAAATAATGTTTCCAAAATAACTCGAAAACGACAGGACGAAATGACTCATTTTAATTTTATAACGAATATCTTACAGAATAAATGGTAAATCATGACGAAATGACTTATTTTAATTTTTATAACGAATATCTTACAGAATAAACGGTAAATCACTGCCGGCGAACTACATGCTACATCTACGACGTAAATATGAATCTGATAAACTCAAGCTGGATCTCGAGAAGGAAAAGTCCCGCAAGTACGGCGTATTAGACCTGTTTCGAACCCCTAACCTGAGAAAGAAAACCATCATCATCACCTTTATTTGGTTCACCAACACAAGTGTGTACGTTGGCCTCTCGTACTACGCCCCGGTGCTCGGTGGTGATGAATTCCTCAACTTCTTTTTGGCCGGTATCGTCGAGCTGCCCACTTACCTGTTTCTCTGGCCTTCAATGGAGAGACTGGGCAGAAGGTGGACATTATGTATGAGCATGGTGGTTGGTGGTGTGGCTTGCTTGACCACGTTTTTGGTACAACATGGTTAGTGACCACAAACATTTAAAATTATAAATTGTATTAAATTAAAAATAATATGTTAATTAGTAAAAACTTAAACGAAAAATTAAGCAACCATCTATATTACTAAACCATTAAAGATCCCGTCTAAAAGCCCCTCAGATTTTCAAAAGACGGAATTTTATATTTTTTCGCTCAAGTATTGACTTTTTATGAAGTTTGTTTTTAAATTGAAGTAGGTGTGAAAACAAGCCCACAGTCTACTTGACAGTAAGTAGATGCTGTCCCGTAGACACCTACACCTATACCCGATTAAGGATCAAATTGTAGATGCGTTGTCACTCCTGAGGAAAATATGCAATGTCTTACTTTTTTATCATTGAGACCAGGGACCCTCTATACTGATAGAGGGTCCCTGAGTTATTTTAAACGTGTTAGAACCATGCTGCAGTTATAGTAGTAGTATAGTTGTAGCACGAATGGGGCGACTCTACCGGGGAAGGACCACGCTCTCACAGAACACCAGCGTAAAATAGCAACGTAACACTGCTGTGTTTCGTATGGTGAGTGTAGAGAACCGGAAACCCTTTTTACTGGAAAAGAGGCATACCATCTTAGTCCTCACGGGTGACAATGCATCTGCATTTTGATTTGCAAACGAGGATAGATGTAGATGTCTATATGCCACAGCAACCACTTACCATCAGGTGGACTGTGTGCTCGTTTGTCACCCTATCCTATAAAAAAGGGTCCCTGGTCTCAATGGTAAAAAGAGACCTTCATTCACCTTATGAAACACAGCAGCATTATTCTGATATTATACGCTGGTGTTCTGTACCAGCATACCGATTAGAGCTGCAGTCATAATACGCTTCTGCCAGGCTCTAACACGTCTAGTCAAGTGTTACAAAGTTAATAAAATTACAATAGTGTACAATTTCACAGATTTAAAATTTCTAATCTTCAAAACCTCCATCAAAATATACTCTGATAATCATCGGTTTTAATTTAATTTATTAATTCCGAAGACCGAGCGCTGCGTTCATTTTGAGTGACGCAAAAACCTAGTCAAAACCATGCTCAACATTATAAGGCTACTCACTCACACATGTGCATCTAAAATAATTTGCAACCAACAACGTGGTTTAAGTTGCATATGCATGCGTGAACTTTTATGGGCCGATGTGAAAGAAAGAAGAAAGATGTGTGCGTGACTTCGTGTGAAGAAGTTGAGCATGGTTTGGGTGTTACTTAAAATGTACGCTACGCGCTCCGTTTATGTTGCCGAGAGTTCACCTTGATCTACCCAATTATTTTGTGTCAATGAGGGCTAATAACCTTACTCTCACCAGATGTCGCTAGTTGGGATTAAGGTGAACTTATTTGTTACGCAGATCATCATTGAAAAGTTGCGATTTGAATAAAGAGTTTCGGTTTTTAGTGTATATGCACATAAAATGTAATTTTTTTTAAATCTACTTTTAGAAATATCCGTAGTTATGTTTAGCCCTTTCTAATCTAATTAATATTGAATAAAATCAATGTTTCAGAAAGAAATATTAATCATTGCACTTTTCTAACAAATCAACTTCCCCCGCTATGTAATCTGTCAAACATTTCACCTCGTTCCAAGTGGATTCGCCCCGATGGCAGAAAATGTCGTGGATGTCCTCATTGGCACAAATTCAAATGACAAAAGAATCGTAGTGATGAGCTGTGTATTTCTATAAACAATTTAATGTTTTTGGTTCTACAGAAACCTACGTGACGTTAGCGCTGTACTGCGTTGGTAAAATGGGTATATCATCGTCGTTCGTTGTGTTGCCACTAATGGCCTCCGAGCTGTACCCAACGGTGGTGAGAGGCCTCGGGATGAGTCTCAGCTCAGTATTAGGAATGCTCGGACCTATTTTCATACCACTCGTTAACTATTTGGTGAGTTGGTTTTATTGTAAGACTCTCTACTTTGGACGATACTGTTATTATTTCGGTTCAAAGGTTACGAAATTTGTTACGGCTTATTTTACAAATTATTGAATATGACTACTTTAACGGATTTTATGGCATTTATTTTGTCTTAATTTCGACTCTCAACGTTTTTAGTGCGTTGTAGCACCATGGTCGCGTGGAGAGACTGGAGTAGGTATGCAAAAAAAAATTAAACGCGATAAAATTCGTAAAACATGAAGCCGCGAGTCGCGAGTCGACTTGTCGACTAATGTGGCTCCTGGGCTCCCACAGAATATCAGCGCTGCGGATGCGGTAACACTTTTATCTGTTACTGTAGCATTATGCGGAGTCGGTGGCGTTTTTGTAGTTGCAATTATTATTATATTTATTAAATGTTTTGAATTTCTTTAAATTTGCTCCACAGTGGGTATTATTCTAAGCCGGTGCTTAACTACAATCCCACCCGATTGTAAGTGGTGATGTAGCCTAAGATGGTGAGGCGCACTGACTTAACAAAAACCTACTCACTCTTGCCTTGAAGACTATACTCTACGACTATACTCTGATGGAAACACAGATGCTGGCAACTTCCACTCCTTTGCTGTACGCATGATGAACGGTGTCGCAAACCGTTTGGTTCGAATGCGTGGTAAGTCAACAACGAAGGGATACTGGCCGAACGTCTGCTTGCCCGATGGTGGAATGAACATATCCATTAATCTACATCCAAAATGTAATTACACCACTCACAAATGTGCTCACAAACGAGCACACAGTCCACCTGATGGTAAGTGGTTGCTGCGGCCCATAGACATCTACATCTATCCTCTATTACAAATTAAAATGTAGATGCGTTGTCACCCGTGAGGACTAAGATGGAATGCCTCATTTCCAGTAAAAAGGGCCTCCGGCCACCTGCACTCACCAAGCGAAACGCAGAGGTAAACCGCTACTTCACGCTGGTTTTCTGTGAGGTCGTGGTACCACCCCGGTTCGAGCCGGCCCATCCGTGCGACAGCAAAAGCTGCCGCGTGGCTCTACCACTGTAAATTTGCTTGTGTACTGCAAAATTAACGGCGAACTTAACCACTGTGCCGTCACGGCTCTCATCTCATAATCCTTTTTAAATATTCATGACATTTCATCTTTTAGGGTTCGGACATTTTGGTACTACCACTAATTATTATGGGCGCACTCCTCGTAGCCGGAGGGATCGCGAGCTTGCTGCTACCGGAGACCCTCAACCAAAATCTTCCCCAAACATTAGAAGATGGCGAGAAAATGGGACTCGACACCGACTTCTGCTGCAGTCCCCCCGTCAAAGAAGCGGAGTCCGATACGGGACCGAACGATTTATTCGATAATTGCAAAAAGTGCAAAACCTTTTGCACATGTCAGGTCGTCAGCGTGTCGTTAGCGGAAAATGTCGCCGCCGTGATTGAAAAAGGCGGTGAAAATGTTGAATTTATTTTAGTCAAATAAACCAGATATAAAATGTGATAGTGTTGTTTTTTTTTTATAGTATAAGGATGATAAACGAGCACCCGTGTAGTGGCGGGTAAGAATACCCACTACCCGTTGTCTTCCCGTGGGTATCGTAAAAGGAATTTCTGACAGCAAAACAACAATAAAAAAACTGCGGTTGCCAACCCACTCGCCAAGCGTGGCAACTATGGCAATATACCCCCCAAGATTAAAGTTACGAAGACACCCTATCCCCGGCAGCCCCGTTATTCCTGGCTACGGTGGCGACCATGGCAACGGCGGCCCAAGGGGTGCTAAGAATCTCCGGTGGTGGTTCGATTGCCACCTACGACGACTCGACCTGGTAACTTATAACGCACGCACCCTGAGGACTGACGAGAAGATTCTGGAGCTGGAAGAAGGGATAGACAAGTTGCGCTGACATATTATAAGATTATCTGAGGTCCGAAGAGAGGGGACAGGTTAATCCTCGAATCCGGCAATTTGTTCTATCACCGAGAGGTCGACCATCTGTCCCAAGGAGGTGTCGGATTTATCGTCCACAAGTCTCTCGTTAACAACGTTGTAAAGATTGAGAGTGTGTCGACGAGGGTTGCGTATCTTATACTCACAATCACCAAACGGTATTCGCTGAAGGTCATACAGGTTTACGCACCAACCTCGGCACACCCCGATGAGGAGGTGGAGGAAATGTATGAGGATATATTTAAAGCCATGCATTCCTCCAAAACCCACCGTACGGTTTTAATGGGAGACTTCAACGCAAAACTAGGCACAAGAGAGAACATTGAGATGAAGGTAGGGAAATTTGGAACAGAGCAACGGAACCCAAGGGGCCAGTAGCTTTATGATGAACTCTTTCTTCCATAAGTGGCCCTACAGGAAGTAGACCTGGTCGAGCCCCGACGGTTCAACAAAAAATGAGATTGACTTCATTATGACGACTAGACGGCAATTGTTTAGCGATGTCGTGATCGTGAGGATGAAAACCGGCAGCGATCACCGAATGGTGAGAGACACACTGAACCTAAACGTTAAGTAGACTAAAACTAAGACTTCATTAGATGTGACCTCTCCGAGTCACGTCTAATGAAGTCAGCGCTCTGTCCCCCTCGTGCTCTGACCCAAAGTACCGAAACCTTTCAGCTCGAGCAACGAAACCGTTTCCAGTGCCTAGAAGATTGCAATGTAGTGTGCGATATAAATGACAAGCTCGTGGAAACTGTCCATGCGGTTGGAGCTAAGTTTTGGAAGGCCCGCCCCAGAAGAACACAAAAACTCTCCGATCACACTCTTAATCTCATGGCTGTTAGAAGGGATCATTTCCCGTTGTATGAAGCTGCAGTTTTCAGTAGATTTGACAGCATACAGGCAACTGAAACTGAACAGACAGATCTCCAAATGCATGCGGCAGGACTTACGCAACTTTAATACTGTTCGTATTAAAGAAGCGATCGAGCGGAGCCAGAGCTCCAAAGTCTTTGCTAAAGATCTGTCTGCCAGAAAGAGCCAACTGTCGAAGCTGAAGACCGAGTGTGTCAGCGTCCTTTCCGGGACACCTGAGATTTTGAGTGAAATTGAAAGGTGCTATGGGCAGCTGTACACATCATCGTTGGAGCCACACGCAAGTGTGAGTAACGATCCAAGAGCAAGTCTTATCCAACACTATTCCAAAGATATCCCGGACGTCAGTCTGAGCGAGATTAGAATGGCTCTCCAGCACCTTAAAAACGGCAAGGCCCCAGGTGAGGATGAAATTACAGCGGAGCTTCTGAAAGCGGTGGAAAACTGGTACTTGAAGTCCTTCAGAAGCTCTTTAATTCCGTCCTCCATGGTGGCACTACATCGAAGAAGTGGAGCAGAAGTGCAGTGTTCTTGTTCTTCAAGAAAGGTGACGACGCTTTCTTACTGTAGTTCTTCAAGAAAGCGTCATAACCTTTCTTGAAGAACTACAGTCCGATTTCCCTTCTGAGCCGCGTCTACGGGCTGTTTTCGAGAGTCATTACGAATCGTCCTTTATGCAGACTCTACGACTTTCAGCCTCCCGAACAAGCCGATTTCCGAAAATGCTTTAGCACCACAGACCACACACCCTTTGGCAAATTGTACAGAAGTCTGAGGAGTACAATTTGCCACTATGTCTGACGTATGTGGTCTGATGTATGAGAAAGCGTCGAAATTTGGGCGGTGCTACAGTCCCTTCAGTAGTGCCAAGTTGACTGTCGGTATATCGAAGTGCTGCAGTGTTTGTACAGTAGGGCTACAATGGCTATCCGAGTACAGAACCAGAGTAAGAAACCTATCCAATTGCAGAGAGGTGTAAGACAAGGTGACGTTATATCCCCGAAACTCTTCACCGCTGCATTGGAAGAAGTTTTCAAGCTACTGGACTGGAAAGGATAAGGTATTAACATCAACGGCGAGTACATCACTCCCCTTCGATTTATCGACGATATAGTCCTTATGGCAGAATCGCTGGAGGACCTAAGCACTATGCTCAATGACCTCAATAGTGTTTCCCAACGGATAGGTCTTAAGATGAACATGGACAAAACAAAGATCATGTTTAATGTCCATGTCACACCTATGTCGGTAGTTGTTGGGAGCACTAAGCTCGAAGTTGTTGACGAGTATGTTTACCTCGGCTGGGCAGCGTTCGGGAAATCACGGCACATCTTCTCGTCAGGTATACCTCAAAACTTGAAAACGAGACTGCATAATACCAGTGCGTTTCAGTGATGACCTATGGAACTGAGACGTGGTCCTTCACTGCTGGCCGTATGAGGAAGCTCAAGGTTGCTCAGCGAGCTATGGAGAAGGCTATGCTCGGAGTTTCTCTGCGTGATAAACTTAGAAATGAGGATATCCGAAGTAGAACCAGAGTGACCGCCATAGCCCAACGGATTAGTAAGCTGAAGTGACAATGGACCGGCCATATAGCTCTAAGAACCGACAACCGATGGAAAAAAGGTTCTCGAATGGCGGCCTCGCGGACGGCGGACGAAGTGTAGGGCGTCCCCCCACTAGATGGAGTGACGACCTGGTAAGACATGCAGGAAGTCGAAGGATGCAGGTAGCTCAGGACCGTGCTTTGTGGCATTCTTTGGGGGAGGCCTATGTTCAGCACTGGACTTGTGACGGGTGGCAATGATGATGATGAAACGAGCACATATTTCAACTGATGGTAAATGGATGTTGTGGCCCATAGACATCTATCTACATTTATATCCAATTAAGATTCAAATTATAGATGCGTTGTCACCCCGAGGACTAAGATGGAATGCCTCGTTATCAGTGACAACGGCCTCCGGTTCTCTACACTCACCATACGAAACACAACAACAAATTTTTCGCAAAATGATCACATACACAGTGCAATTCTGCAATCACAATGTTGTAAGTTATAGCATTTTTTGCAAGGTTAATTGATTAGTATTCCGTTAAATAAAAAGTACTTACATTTTAATACTTTCACATCAATTATAATAAAATTAGAAATTTATAGATTTTTTGTATACACAATTAATAATTACATTTTTTAAATATTTTAAAATATCAATAAAAACACATTGTTACATTAACCATTATTAATATTATAATACACTGTGTATGAGAATACACTACCCCATATCGTCCGTGGGTGTCATAAGAGACGACAGAAGGAATTAAAACAGGTGATGGGCAGCAGCGTCTTCATCATCACAATAACAACCCAAATTAATAAAATCAATGTGGATGTAGCCAAGCGTGATAACTATGACAAATATCCATATGAAGCAATCTATGGGGGAGACTCTCAGAGGAATGTAATGAATGCATGAATAAAGGTGATAAGATTAATATATATAATATATTATATTTGATACACGTATATCTTCAGCAACAAACATTTTAAAAGTTAACCGTTAACCAGTTCGCGGGATTTTCAACAGTTATTTTGTCTATGGTAGCCTGCGAAATGCCTTTAGCCTTCATTCTAGGTAGCACGTTGTTTATTATATGAGAATATCCGTGACCGCCAAACTTTATCTGAAATATAACGTTTATTTTAAAACGAATAATACGAAATATTGTCTCTACTACTAAAATCGTACAATTTTCATTTAAAAATATGTAAGTCGACCAACGGCGGCGGCGTAAAAAAACTTCTCCATCGCCCATCCTTCCCTGTGTATTGCTCTGATTTTTTTATTATTGATGTAATTAATTAATTTATAGTACTAGACCAAATGTTAATGAAGTGTAGGGCGTCCCCCCACTAGATGGAGTGACGACCTGGTAAGACATGCAGGAAGTCGATGGATGCAGGTGGCTCAGGTCCATGCTTTGTGGCATTCCTTGGGGGAGGCCTATGTTCAGCAGTGGACTTGTGAAGCGCTGTAATGATGTTGATGATGATGATGACTGGGCCAAATCGCTTATATGTTATACTAAATATGAGATTACATTCTATTCAGATAAGAAAACACATACTTTCTAATTACATCGACTTTTTAAAGAAAAACATATCAACATCAGGGTTGCTTTGTAAAAATCTTTTTATTAAATTTATGGCTTTAGCGGTGGGGTTATTACTCGCATGGGGTAAGCTCCATGTTGGGGTGTAACAGAAAAGCCGGCGTTGCGGTTGCGCAACTCCACGCATATACAATGATCGGGCACATAGAAATGAACACATTCGCGTATCGATGGATTGTCCTTTGTTGTCTTATTGGTTAGATTAATTGGTAATGGCCACACAGCACACAATCCACCTGACGTTAAGTGGATATAGGCTTATAGACGTATACATGTATCCTCGATTATGAACCAAAATGCAGATGTGTTGTCATTTCTATTATTAGTTATGGTTGTGTCAGCGGGACTTCATCAGCATTTTTTTTCCAAAAGTGAAGTGAATTTAAAAAATGAACTGGTAGATAATGGGTTGACTGGTTCTTTTGTTTTAAAGAATGTACTAAAGATTAAATAAATAAATAAATTTTACAATCGACCTGATGGTAAGTGGCTACTGCAGCCCATGGCAACTAACGTCAAATAAAGAAAGATTTAGATGCGTTGTCATCTCTGAGGACCAAGATGGAATGCCTCACAGCTTGTAACTATACTGACTCTCTACACACATTAGACCGGGAGACAGCAGGGCACGCACTGCTATATGACGTAAATACGTAAGAAGGTTTACCCAACCAGATGGGCTTCTACGCAGAACAGAAGTCCTACACCTTGTGAATTAGATGGTAAGAAGTGAGTTATCAAAATGTCTTCCAACTTACCAGCCTGTGTTTAGTATGAATGTCATGAGACATAAGAATTTTATCCTCTCGACCTTCCTTAATTAGTGCTTGTATTTTCTCCATGCGTTGTGAATCTGAAGGCATGTCGAAAGTCTCATTGAGCTGATAATACGAAACCTCCGTACCGAAGAGATCGAACTGACAGTATCCACCTAAATCAGCGAATTCCAACAGTTTCTCAGTTTGTAACAATGTACCTGTAATAGTAAATGGCATATTATTTATAAAGATATTTTAATTACGCGATTGATAATAAAATACTTATAATCTAATGTATAAATATTAATTTTTGTTTGTTCGTATTTTATGCGCTGCCGCACCGTTCATCAGATTGCGCTAAAACTTTGTCATCTTATTGCTTGTACCTACACGAAGGTTACAGACATAGAACAATTAACCAAAAATTTTTATGGGATTTTTTTATGGTTTCAAGCGAGCACACGGTCCACCTGATTGTAAGTGGTTGCTGTGGCCCATAGACATTTACATCTATCCTCGTTTGCGAACCAAAACGTAAATGCATTGTCAGCCATGAGGACTAAGATGGAATGCCTCTTTTCCAGTAAAAAAGGTCTCCGGTTCTCTACACTCACCATACGAAACACAACAGTGTTAAGCTGGTAGTCTGTGAGAGCGTGGTCCTTCCTCGGTTGAGCCGACCCATTCGTGCTACAACTATACAATTAATATACACAGCTGCATCATGGCTCTATCACGTTACAAACTTCATTCAATCTCAATGAATATATTATCATTCCTAATTAAACAATATAACTCTTACAAATTTAAAACGATATTTCCACAATTATTTCTTCTGCGGTAACAATGCGCCCGGTACCAGTTAGTATGACATGGACATTAAACATGATCTTTGTTTTGTCCATATTCATCTTAAGACCTATCCGTTGGGAAACACTATTGGGGTCACTGGGCATAGTGCTTAGGTCCTCCAGCGATTCTGTCATAAGGACTATATCGTCGGCAAATCGAAGGTGAGTGATGTACTCGCCATTGATGTTAATACCGTATCCTTTCCAGTCCAGAAGCTTGAAAATGTCTTCCAATGCAGCGGTGAAGAGTTTCGGGGATATAACGTCACCCTGTCTTACACCTCTCTGCAACTGGATAGGTAGTTCTGTACTCGGATAGCCATCGTAGCCCTACTGTACAAGCACTTCAGCACTTCGATATACCGACAGTCAACTTGGCACCGCGGAAGGGACTGCAGCACCGCCCAAATTTCGACGGAATCAAAGGCTTTTTCATAGTCCACATACGCTGGACATAGTGGCAAATTGTACTCCTCGGACTTCTGTACAATTTGCCAAAGGGTATGTATGTGGTCTATGGTGCTAAAGCCCTTTCGAAAACCGGCTTGTTCGGGAGGCTGGAAGTCGTCAAGTCTGCGAGCGAGATGATTTGTAATGACTCTCGAAAACAGCAGAAAGATGCGGCTCAGAAGGGAAATCGGTCTATAGTTCTTCAAGAGAGCGTTGTCACCTTTCTTGAAGAACAAGATCACCGCACTTCTGCTCCACGCCTCCGGTGTAATTCCACCATGGAGGACAGAATTAAAGAGCTTCTGAAGGACTTCAAGTACCAGTTTTCCACCCGCTTTCAAAAGCTCCGCTGTAATTCCATCCTCGCCTGGGGCCTTGCTGTTTTTAAGATGCTGGAGAGCCATTCTAATCTCGCTCAGACTGACGTCCGGGATATCATAGGAATAGTGTCAGATAAGACTCGCTCTTGGATCGTTACTCACACTTACGTGTGGCTCCAACGATGATGTGTGCAGCTGCCCGTAGAACCTCCCAATCACACTCAAAATCTCAGGTGTCCCGGAAACGACACTGTCACACTCGGTCTTCAGCTTCGGCAGTTAGCTCTTTCTGGTAGACAGATCTCTAGCAAAGACTTTGGAGCCCTGGTTCCGCTCGATCGCTTCTTCAATACGAGCACTATTAAAGTTGCGTAAGTCTCGCCGCATGCATTTGGAAATCTGTCTGTTCAGTTGCCTGTATGCTGTCAAATCTACTGACGACTGCAGCTTCATATCCCGTCTAACAGCCATGAGATTAAGAGTGTGATCGAATAGTTTTTGTGTTCTTCTGCAGAGGGTCTGCTCCTCTTAAACTTAGCTCCGACCGCATGGACAGTTTCCACGAGCTTGTCATTCATATCGTCCACTGCATTGCAAGCTTCTAGGCACTGAAAACGGTTTCGTAGCTCGAACTGAAAGATTTCGGGACTTTGAATTAGAGCACAAGGGGGACAGAGCGTTGGCTTCATTAGACGTGACCTCTCCAACTAAACGTTTAGGTTCAGTGTGCCTTTCACCATTCGGTGATCGCTGCCGGTTTTCACCCTCGCAATCACTGAGACATCACTGAACAGTTGTCGTCTGGTCGTCATAATGTAGTCAATCTCATTTTTTGTCGAACCGTTGGGGCTCGACCAGGTCCACTTCCAGTGGGACCGCTTCTGGAAGAACGAATCATAAAGAGTCCCTCTTTCTCCATGAAGTCGCCCAGCTGCTGGCCCCTTGGGTTTCGTTGCCCTATTCCGAATCTCTTTCGATGTAGGTACTCCAGGGACCATCGGCGCCAAAAGCTTTGAGTCATCTGTTGCAGCAGGGCAAACCTGCTAAGCCGTGAAGCGCTCGTTTTCCTGAAGGGGTACTCGGGCAGAGCGTTAAGAGGCTGGCCAATCAGGAAGTGTCCCGGGGTTAGAACCTCCAAATCATTCGGGTCGGAGGAGAGGGGACAGAGGGGCCGAGAGTTGAGTACCGCCTCAATTTTACAGAATACAGTGGCGAGCTCCTCAAATGTCAAAATAGCTTCACCAATAACGCGACGGAGATGCGTTTTTGCTACTTTAACCACCGCCTCGAAAATACCGCTCCAGTGAGGACACGCCGGAGGGTCGAATTTCCACTGGATGCCCCTTTTTGACATAGCATTGCCTAAATAGGTACGGTGGCTAGACAGAAACTCAACGACCTCCTTTAGATACCTATCCGTGCCCTTATAATTCGTTCCGCAATCCGACCGGATCAAGTCCGGCAACCCGCGCCGCTATACGAAACGGCCAAGCGTGGCCAAGAAGGCTTCCGTGCTGAGGGCGCTTACAAGTTCCAAGTGAACGGCTTTAGTGGAGAGGCACACGAAGACGCAAAGATAGGCCTTATGCGAACGGGCGTTACGAATGTTAGAGGACTTAACGAGGAAGGGGCCAGCAAAGTCGGTTCCGACTCCAGCAAATGGTCGGATGGCCCTGACGCGGTCGGGCGGCAAGTCACCCATGAGGGGCTGCGATATGGTGGCCTTCAGTTTATAACAGGATATGCAATTAAAGATGACGCTCCGGATGAGACGTCGGCCAGACAAAAACTCCCGCTGTAAAATAGCCGAAAGAGCGTTGCACCCAGCGTGGGCATTCTTACCCACCAATCTACCAGCAATCGGACCAGGGCGCCATCCTTCGGGAGCAGCAACGGGTGTCGAGCCCCGTACGGCAGTTGAGAATTTTTCAAACGTCCGCCAACGCGCAGCATCCCCGCGTTATCCAGAAAGAGGTTCAGGCGGGCCAGGGCGCCCTTGATAACGGAGCCACGCTTCAAGTTTTCAATGACGGGCTCAAATTGCTCCGTTTGGACCATGCGGGTCCAGTACATCAAAGCTTCCCGGCACTCGCTAGGGGACAAAACGCTATCAGAGAGTCGGTGGGATGGGTATCTCGAATTGCGGACAAAGCGGCGCAACCAAGCAGTAACTCCCAAGAGCTTATCGAGGGAGCTGTACCGTTCCAGAAGAGAGAGATCCCGAGTGGGCTTATCCTTGCCCACTCCAACTCGGGCTCGTAGGCCCGGCAATTCGGTAGGTTCGGAGTAATTGCCCCGGGGCCAGAATGACTGAGACCCAGATAACCAATCGGGACCCCACCACAGTGGGTGGTCAACCAGCGATGGGGCCTCACAGCCGCGAGAAGCGCAGTCCGCGGGATTCAACTCCCCTGGGACATGTCGCCAGTTGAGAGAAGTCTCAGAACTCTGGATTTGAGAAACGCGGTTCGCCACAAAGACCTCGAGATTGTGAGGTGCAGCTCGGAGCCAACAAAGTACGATCTCACTGTCCGACCATGCGTAGACGCCCGTAATGTCGATTACAGGCTTCAAGGAAGAGTGAACGTGGTTGAGGAGTCGCGTGAGGAGAGCGGCACCGGACAGTTCCAATTTAGGGATAGTTAAGCGGGACCTAATGGGAGCAACCTTGCTTTTAGCGAGTACGAGATGGGCGGCAGTATGACCAGAGGAACTCACCGTCCGCAAATATACGACAGCAGCATAGCCCTTCTCAGAGGCGTCGCAAAACCGATGTAGGGTAGCCCGACATTTCCCGGGGGGAAGGAAGCACCTTGGCATGGAAACCCGGTTGATATCCGGAAGGGAGGAGAGCATGGAGAGCCACTCTCGCAAGAGGGCTCCGCCAATCGGCTCGTCCCAACCCAACCCGGACATCCAGAGCTTTTGAAGAAAGCACTTAGCTAAAAAGATGACCGGGGTGATCCACCCATTAGGGTCGAAGGTGCGGGCTACGGTGGACAGCACGAAGCGTTTGGTCCATGCTTTGGGCGGTGGGTTAAGTTTTACTCTATACGTAAAGGTATCCTTAACAGGCTGATATTGAATGCCCAGCACAGTCAACAAATTAGGATTCTCAGGGTGCTCGAACAGATGAGGGTCTTGCTGATCCTCTCCTGGGAGGTCCTTCAAAATATGAGGGGAGTTCGACAACCACTTGCGCAACTCATAGCCTCCAGACTTCAGGATGGCAATTAATTCGTTTCGCAAGACCAGAGCCTCCTCGACGGTGGAAGCGCCCGTACAAATGTCGTCCATGTAGACCGAAGTCTCCAAAATAGAAGCTCCCCGAGCGTATCTCAGGCGCTCTCTCTCAGCGAGTTCAAGGAGGGTTCGCATGGCGATATACGGGCTGGACCGGAGTCCATATGTGGTGGTGTTCAAAACCACTTGGTGTCGACGGAATTGGGTCAAGATGTCGGATATGTCCTTGATCAGTTTAGGACCCGAGTGAAGACACTGGTTCAGAGACACACCGTTTGATCTGGGGGCGGAACCGTCAAAAACTACCCGAATCTTACTCTCAGGGGTCCTCAAGACCGCATGGTGAGGGAGGAA